AGCTTGGTTTTTATTTCATAGTGTTGCAGCAGCTGTCACTTAATACACCATGGGTTTTTCAGCAACACTTTTATGGGAATAAAATGAAGGCCAGTGGCCATGAAGCTCGTGGGAAAAATCTCAAATAAAAACATTTCCTGTAACTTCTTCTCAAAAAATAAATGATCAACCATCTCTTTCACTCTTCCTAAATACTGTCTCAGGTCTCAGCTTACTGCATACTTAAGTGCGTTAACCAAAATGCAAATTCATTTGGCCTGGTCTAAATCCCCCAAGCAATTAGTTGGCCACTTGCATGGAAATTGGCTGAATTACTAGGGACTCGATTTAATGTTTATCCGTATATATCTGTGTGTCAGTGTGTGTGTGAGTGTGGCACGTGCCTGCGGCTAAGTCTCGCTTACAGCAAGTCATTCTCATTGTCATTTTGTGGGCGTGTTTTCCTTTTTTCTTCCCTGCGGTCGACTGCCGGTTGCATGGGAGTCAAGTGAATTAGCATAAATTATTGGCCTGTGCAGCTGCTGGGAATTGGACGACACGGCGGCAGTAGCGGCAGCTTTAATCACTTGGCTTAAATGGATCTTTAACCTGTAGGAGATAGATAATGGTTAGCACTTTTAAAATAAAATTTGGAGTTTAAAAAATTACACCAAATATTCGGAGATTCCTTTTTTCGACCAGAAAATTCTGCATATGGTTTTGGGGTTCGTTTCTAGTGCTAAAAATAAATATAGAAAATTATAAAACTAAGAATTAATGATGGATTTAGTAGATTTGTGTATAATTATACAAACAATTGTAATATATTTCTTAAGAATCCAACTTATAATTGAGATTTTTGCAGTAGAAGTATTGCCTTATTTAAACCATTTAAACCCAATTGTTGCAGTACAGTTTTAACCAAATGAAACCATTTAAAAGTTGAAATTTTTAACCACTTTTAAAGCACAATTTTCTTCTTCAAACTGCCCGTCAGCTGGCCTCTCCGCTGCTGGGGCAATGCCAATCAAGTTTCACTTTCAGTAGTGCGCCAGTGGCTTTTGCCATAAACTTTGCGAAATTTATTGTCTTCTCGGTGCTGCCGGGCAATGTGATTATCTGCGATCTGCGATAATTTCCCGGCAATAATCGCAGCAATTAAATTTACGACCTTCTTAGCGGCAGCTTCAACAAAACGCTCGAGTGAGCTTCAACATTTTTACGACCCGCCTCGCCTTGGAGGCAATAAAAACTGGGCGTGGCCTAAGCATAAATCAAATTTGAGACATAAACTATGAGCAAGGGGTAGGTAGAGCTGTTCAGCGGGGAGGTACTCATCCGCACAGCTGCCATTAAATATTACACATACGCAATGTTAACACTTTATAAACGCATTAGGGGAGATCGAGCCACAACCCAGCCCCAAGTGGCGACTAGAAAAGGGCCGAATACCCATATCAAAATACAATTTGCAAGCCAGAAACAAATATGCGAAAATAAATAATAAAAAAAAAAACAAAACAAAAAAACAAATTTGTGCAGATAAAATATTTATGAGCAAGAGAGGAAAATGTGTTCCCTGACCAATGTAGGGCATAAATCATGCGATTATTGGAGGGGAAGCAAAATAAAAACACGTGGCCATACAGAGACAAAGTACAGTGCGTTTCATGGTAGATAAAGCTGAAATTCTGAGAGGAAATAATGGGAAAGTTATTTTCTGTATTTCTCCACTTGAAACCTTTTTAATTCGTTTCTCTGATTCAATTTAGCTCCAATTTATATGCATATACTTTCATAACGCACTGTAGTCCATAAAGGAAATAAATGAAGCTCCACAAATGGCTCTGGGGACACGCCCAGAAGGCACAGGACATTAAACTCAATGAGTTGAAATTATTTCCAGCTGAAGGTCAACTAAATGCGGACTCTAAGGATTGTCGGTTGGGCCACTGACAAAGGGGGGTGGTGGAGTGCGCTTTGAGGCGTGGCTGCCGGGGTGCGCACCATTAAAGACAGCTTCCGCAAATAATAAATTTTGCTTACCAAAAACAGCCAGAAGAAAAAGAAGAAGCCCGCCAGAAGCTACGGAACCAAACACTCGTTAGGCTTCCAAGTGGAACTTAAGCGATATTTTGCAAAGAAAACATAAAATTTAGGAACAATTGTGCCAAAACGAATAGAAAATACTGCAATAAACATAAGTTTAGGTAGACTTGATTTAATAAATTAATTTTGTGTAATTTTTAATCACTGTAAAAGAGGGGGGCAAAAGTCATAGAAAAGTGCTGCTAAATCTGCTAGCATTTGGGAGGCATTTAAGCACGAATAAAACCAAGTCCACTTCTCTTCCTTGTCCCAAATTGTACCCACCACAGCTTAATCGTTCTACAGGGTATCATAACTGCCTTTTTTCACCTCTCTTTTTCCACGTTTTGTGCAGCTAAACATTCTACGTGCCAAGAGGTTTCGCGGTTTCGCGGTTTTCGGCTTCGGTTTCAGTTTTTTACTCGAGTTCTGTTGCTCCTTTGCGCGCTGGCAGAGCGTTAATTTCTATGGATTATTTATGATCCCCAAACTTGGTCTGCAAAGCCGGATGAGCTGCAAGTTTTTCCACCGCAACAGTCACGATTCAACACAAGTGCAAAACTGATATTAATAGCCACAGAATTTATGGAGCTTCACCGCTGAAATTGTATTGCTTTTGTGCGAAACAAATCAATTTGCAGGGCAAACTGCAGCGATAGAGCAGTCATGGAGCAGCCATCAACTTTATATCAGTTTTTTTTCAACTCCGAACCGAAGATGTTGTTGTTTCTGCTGCTCCTCCTACAGCTACTGGCCCTCGCCCAGTGCCAGCGAGAGAGCCGCAAAAGTTTCTCCGATTGCGCGAGGAACCTGCACATGGAGGAGGCAAACTTCACGGAAATTATTGAGTGCCTGGCGCGCTCCACTAATCTGACGGCCCACTGGGAGGACACTCTTTGGCGCTTGGATCAGCTTGAACGCTTGCTGGACAAGTTGCACGCGCAGCGGCCCATAGAGAAATATAATCATACGCCGTATAAGAACATTGACGATGTGATGAACATCAAGGAGAAGGTGTCGGAGCAGGATTGCCAGGGGCAGCGTCATGTGGTGCAGGCTGTGCGTCGCAAACTCTTCTGGCATAGCCTGTTGGGTGGCAGGGAGAGCACACTCTTTGCCTGGCCCTGGTCCGCCGAACATGCAAAGCCAGAGGAGGAGATCCCGGATCCGCCAGACGATGATCATAGTCCAGAGACGCTGCAAAACTTGCGGTGTGCGCTGCTGGATGCCGTACAAAAGCAAAAACCACGACGCGTATAGTTTTGGAGTGGCCAACAATTGTTTAAGCATTTAACCTCTTTGTTGGCTCAATTGATTGGCCCAATTAAAGCGACACAAAGGCGGCTGTCGACGGGTCGGACAGGTAGACAGTGCTGCTGTGGCCTGCTGCTGCATTTAAATTGTAAATAAATATGTGAGAGCATCTCTGAACAATGGGCCCGCAATCAGGCGAGCAAGCAGCTCCATCACAGGCTGGGGGCTCTGCCAGACTGCCATCCAACCAGCCAGCCTGCCAGCCTGCCAGCTTGTGGCATGTCCTGCTGGCACAGCAACGTTGTGGCATGGTCTGGGGTGGGTTCCCCTTTCATGTTTTTAAATTGAAATCTCAGCAGCAAACGTGAGGCAGTACCCAGAGGACACCATCCAGAGGTGGAGCTGCATGCAAATGTGCGGCATTTGCAGCACTCTCTCTGTCTCTCTCTCTCGCTGGCTCTCCCTCTCTGTGGTGCTTTAAATAATTGCTTAGTGCCCCGTGGCACACACTAATAACAATAATAACACACAGTCCAAGCACCCAGGTCCAGCCATGATAATGTAATAGCAGCTAGAAGCTGCCACAGATGAGTACTTGCCACACCAACTCCAACCCCATGCGCTGACCCTCGCCTTTGACCCTCGCCTGCAAATGCATTTCCCCACGTGGCTGTGTCTCTGTGTCTCTGTGTGTGTGCTTTTAATGTGCCATATAAAATAATTTAATGACCAGCCAGGGAAAGTGGTTCTGTGGTTCAGCACAGTGGGGTTTAGGGTGGAGTGGGAGTGGGAGTGGGAGTGGCACCACCGACTGGTGGGTGGAGGAGGAGCGGGGCTATCTTCTGGTAATGAACAAAACGTTTGGGGGGGCCATAAAGCGGGTGACTGTAAATGATAATAGTGGCACATATTACGGGGGGACGGAGATAGCAGATAGCCCATGACAAAGTGTTGGCCCAGGTCCGGCTTTAATTGGAAGTGGAATGGCAAGGTATCAGCACAATAGACCAATTAGATACACATATGAGAGAGCAGACACGCTAGCATAATGACAAAACGAGAGAGAGAGAGAGACAGTGCAGAGGGCACACACAAGTTGATAGACCAAGCAGTAGTTACGGTACTGCAGCAGGTGCTCAAAGAGCAAAGCGCAAGTATTCAATTAGTGTAAATGTTAACAAAAATTAGTACATACAGCCATAGAAAGCTAAAAAAAATCTGAATTAATATTTGGCTTTGCCAAAACTTTAATTACAGCGAGAGCAACAGCCCGAGGGGCTAACAGCTTAACATTCTGTACTTGCTTTGCGCTCGCTGCAGCTGCAATTTACAGCTCACTGTTAGCGCTCTCTAAGAGTCAGCTTATGCTTACGCTCATGTTGTTGCCATGCAATCGAAAGAGAGCTCCAGCCAGAGCATCGCCATCCGATCCAGCAGCAGCCGTGCGAACCTCGCACAAAGCGCAGAGCGAAAACAGCCAATGTTGTTGTTGTTGTTGTTGTGTCGAAGAGGAATGCCAAATGTAATACAACGGGCTCGGCTTGCTCATGGCAAAGAGGCGTATAAGTGCGGGGGGTATAAGTCGAGTAGCGGCGATCCTGAACCCAGAGGCTTCCCCCTCCTAGGAAAACAAACATTTGGTTTGTAATTCTCTTCAATTTAAGTAGTTCTTGACGTGTGGGTTCCGTGTGTGTCTGTCTGTACGGTAATTCAAAAGGTAGCATAACTAATGAAAAGCGTATTTTCCATGTAGAGGAAAATGGAAATTCATTTTCAGTTTCAGTTAGGCCGTGCACTGCATAAGGGATGAGGAATAGAGAGCGATTTTTGAGAGATTTTGTATCTCTATTTTGTTAATCCAAAAATTGTGTTATAAAAAACTTGTTCTTCCGTTGGTCTTTTGTCGGTTTTTGTTTTATATATTTTGGTTTACTATTTATTTTGCGCTAAAACCGAATAAATATTTGCGGTTATCATCTTATCATCGTATCATCTAGTGGGTTCCATGCTGCAACCAACTCCGTAGATATGTCTATGGTGGAGCTTGGAGCGAAAATGGTCGCCCAACCTGTTTTTGTTTGTTTGTTTCTGGATTTCATATCTCATATCTATTTCAATCTGTATCTGTATCGGTTTCTGTTGCTTGTATCTGTATTTATGTGTTATTTTGTGTGTGTATTTTTTGCAACATTTAGTTGTTGCTGGACTTTTTGGTGGACTTATTTTGTGTTTTCTTTCCTGTTTTCTTGTTTTCCTGCCCTGGCATTTTATTCTGCAGGGCATTGGCTTGTTTTACATCAGGCGGCAGTTCTGGCTGTGCGGAGTGTTGTGATGTGGATGGCTTGGCCTGCACTTTTTTGGCATCTAGGATAGGGCGATCTTCATCCATCATTGCCCTCTGGAATAGACCTGGCTTAATCTTGCGAAAGTCGGGCAACTGAATCTTTGACTTATAGCCCCTTCTCTCAAGTTCCGCGCCAAATGCAAATGTATCAAAGATCTCAGGCACCTCTACAACCCCGCCGGTCTTCTTGTTGTCCCGATTTTTAATATTGAAAGAGAACCCTGGCGTGGAAATGGTGGGTGGAATGGGGCCCAGAGCTCGATTCCAGATGGGATTGCTGATTAGGGGATAGGAGGCAGGTGGCTTTCTGCGTTTCTGTAACAATTCGGCATGAAAAGAGCTGTAAATTATAAAAAAAAAAGGGTGTTGAAGAAATGTTTAATGAATCCCCTCGATACACCGCGAATTATCAATCATATTATGATTTTGTACGGCATTTAGTAGGATTTGCAAAATATATTCTTTAAATGTAATTACCAGCAATACTGTTTCTCCCCCTCTGCAAGGTTCTTCTTCTCTTGCATGCAGCCATTTTGCTTTGCCACGTAGTCGCGGAAGAAGTTGGCCTCAGATTCATTGCGGTTTTCGAGCTCCTCTGTGCTGCTAGAATGTTTCATTTCGTCTGAATATGCTTTCCGGTATTTGTTTTATATTTGTTTCTCTTACCTTTGGGTTGCCACTTGCTTGGCCATTTCAATGTCCTCTACTCTGCCTCGACTGGCTTTATTTTTCACAATCTTATTGCTCTTATTGCTCTTCTTGCTCATCTTGATTTTTGACTTTACGATTCAAATGAAAATTAATGCAATGACAAGCGAAAAGCGAAGCGAGTGGATTAAAGTTAGGGTTGTCAAAAATGTATCAATACATCGATATTTTTCTAAATAAAAATATACTTGTATTGTGATGTATATATTTTTTTGGTATTTCATCGCTACAGCGAAATTGAATGATACTTCAGTTCGATGATGGGGCTGTCGATATTTTCTTGAGTATCGATAGTTGTTGATGAGACCATGCATGGTGTTGCATTGGTATATTCTTATAATTTAAACAATATGATGCTTAGTTAAAAAGTACTGCCACTGTTACACTCATGGGCATAATATTATTCAACAGACAATTACCATTTCAACTAAGGCAGACCAGCAGTCCCCACTGAGAAACAGGGACCAGATCCATACGTGAAGCCTGAGTCATAGCAGTGCGAAACAGCAGTCCATCACCTTCATCAAGGGGATTGGGCAGGAATGCAGCAGGGAGATCAAACCTTGTTGATAGTGAACAAAGTGGTGCTGAAGAGAGCTTCCCCCAAGTGCCGAGCTCAGCGCCGACGCAAGCAGAGCAGAGCACACGAAGAAATGCAATAGCGATTGTTGTTGCCATGGTGAAATAACTTAGGTATTTTACCACGGTCCTCCCCACAGCGGGCGACGTCACCTTATTAGTAATTTCACCATGGTCCTCCCCACAGCGGACGACGTCACCTTATTAGTAATTTCACCATGCTTACGCCTACTCTCGCTCTCACGATCCACATGCTTTCATTACGCCGCAACCACCAACGCGAAAAGTGAATTACGCGTGATGTAAATATTAAAACAGGCTGCGACTTAAATCTTTGTGAGCCGACTGTTAAAAAAACAACGGTAATAACGTGTATATATCGCTCACCGGCTAAATTCTTTGTATTCATCGCTGAAATCGTTCAACAAAAAAATCATAAAGAAGCGGCAGAGAAGCAGAATATATGATGTTAGAACACTTCTCCTGCTTGAGGCATGATTTTTACCGTTGGAATCCTCTCTTGCAAACAGAATGCATACTCTTAGAAGCAACAGCGAAGCTGGAGAGAAGCGGAAACAGTGGAGAGAGCGCACAGAAGCTTCTAGAACACTAGTGCCATCTCCCTCTATCAAATACTATTTCTTCTTGAGGCTGCTGCACTTTACACAAGTCAATATTGAGAATGGCTGCGCTGATATTAATTCATCAACTGCAATATGTAAGTACGAGTATAATTAGCCAAATTCCCCTTCAAATGAACCTGATTAAGCAGACAGATTATTTCGGTTTCAACTTGCAACTTAAGCTGCTTAAATTCCCATTCGAATCGTATCTACCTCCCGTCCCTCGAGGCATTTACCATTTGTAGCTATTCCTGGTACCCCCACCCCATAAACAACCCACACCACAAGCCCATTTGGGAAACCTCTTAAGAAAAGAAACCAAATTAAAATCCAGTGTTCTCATTTGCCTGGGATTTTCTCAAGTTTTTGGTTTTGTTTCGTTCATGCTCCCTTTTCTTACTCCTTCCTTTGGTTCCTCCTTTTACTCGCTGTCTGTCTGTCTGTCTGTCTTGGCAATTTCTGCAAAATAGTTGCGCTTTATTTTCCAGGCAACTCTGTCATTCACCTCCCTCTCGATTCGGTCGCTTCTCCTAGAAATGTCAATAAAAATTCAATTACGTTTTCCGCCAAAAGAAAAGTTGTGTCTGAAATGGATTTCCTTATGGCCATCTCCATTTAAAATGGCCCTAGGTTTCTGGTTGTCAAGAGTGAAATTTGTTTATCATCTTCTTTGATTTGCTGTTTGGGCGGCCGAATGGATATACACTTAACTTGTGTATTTAATGGCCTAATTATGTGACCCACACACAAACACACACAAAAAGAGCTGTGTAAATAATCATAATCATCATCGTTATGAGGGCATCCATAAAGTTTTGTGTTCACTGACAGCATCAATAAAAGGAAATTGGCGGAACTGATTTGGGGGTTTCTTTTAGTCATAACACATATGTTCCTGGTAGTAGTTGACAAAGTTTATGCTGATGCTTTTCGTGGAGTAGGCAAAAGAATCAAGGTCGCGCTGTCATACATTAAGGCAGTTTTATTTCGTCTTTCAGGTAGTTACAGCTAATCTCAAGCCCGCTACTTGCTCACATTCCCTCTCTCTCTTTCACCCCACACGCAAAAACCAGCACTGCGAAACTTTTATACACACCCAAAGTGTTCTACAGCGGTGCTTACAGCCGAACCCAGTCGGCTGTTCGATGCCATGTTCGCTGCTTACGTCGAGCATGTTCGAGCTAGTTTGCGTTGTGGAGTTGAGTCTTTTATGCATACAAAACGAGACCAACGCAACACGCCACTCGTATGCAACTCCGACCTGTGTTTGAGTCCTTTTCCCACTTTATGTTTTTCAATTTCCATCTACGCCTAAATGTATCTCACAAAAACATCGGACGCGGACAAGGAAACAACAGAGATACTGTCGAATTTTGCGCCGAGTTTTCACCAACAGTGCTGCCGTCGCGTAAGGTTTTAAGTCCATCCCAACCCCACTCCATACTCTAAGGAGCAAAAACCTCAAATTTATTTTGAGCCTTCACGTATTAATCAACTAAAGGCGTGGGGCCTTTGCAGCTGCATCTGTATTGGTGCGGTGTATGTGTGTGTGTGTGTGTTTAGGTTGTGGTTTTCCCCACAGTTTTGTGTCGTTGTGCCTGCTTCATTAGCAGCTTCCGCTTCCGGTCTTCCCTCTCTCTCTATGTATCTCTTTCTGTGGATTAATGAGGCAAAAGTGTTTTATCGTGTCGTGCGTTAAATAATTAATACAATATCAAATAAATGTTGCATAAGCCGGCTGTCATTTAGCATCTTGCGTGTGTGGCCTGAGCATCTTGAGTGTCAGTGTTTTCGTGTGTTTATACTCTGGAATATTATTCAAGATTTTGGACAAAGTCTAGACAAGGATTCTCAATAGAACTTGCAAGCTGCGCACTACTTAACGATAAAAGTAAGTGACATTAAACACATTTTATTTGCGCATTTGAAACCATTTGAAAATGAAAATATTTCTCTTTTTTACTGGCTCATTGCTAAACGGATATCTTGTCACATCTCAAACATTTTTATGATCCATTTCTGGCTGTCTTTATGGCAAAGGTAGATGCAATTTTGATTTGATATTTGGACTTTTTTTTAATGGCCTACTTGCTGCTGTTATTGGATAAATTCGTGTGTTAATGGTCTTGGGGGAATTTCCATATAATTTTATCTTTAATTTTCATCTGAGCTGTACCAAGGGGTGGAAAATAAAACGAGGCAGTTGGACGGCAGACCCATTAAGGGGTACGGTAGAAAGGTATGTAGTACCCACATGTAATGGAAGGTCATTAGCCACATCACCACATTTACAGCAGAGCCACCCAAGCCACCCACCCTGCACCGCTCGCACCCTGCCCCAACCCCTAATTCATTCATTCATAGCCATCCACAGAGTACACAATTAATTGGTAGCAAACGTTTTGCTGTCTGCCACAAAACTTACTTTCATGCTAGTTCATTTGCCACGCCCCTAGCCCTAGCCCTAGCCCCATTCCTATTCCCCATTAAAGCACACAGATACACACACACACATACTGGCACAAGCACGTGTACACGTAGTTGGGTCGGCGACGGCATGTGGCAGCATCCGAAAGTAAGTAAATAATGCGTAAAACAAGTCAAGCGTTTTACGAACACTCCCATTTCTCATGAGCTTCCAAGCCCCTCCTCAGCGCCCCCTCCATCCACACCTTTGGTGTGTAGCACCCGCGCCCGCCCCTTTGGGGCAGAGAACAGTCAATTGTAAAATTGTAGCAGCCAACAAAGCGTGGAAGCAGAGGAAGCTAAGCGGACGATGAGCCGCCTCCTCATGATGAGGGAAAAATGGAGCTGGGAGCCAGGATTGCAGGCAGTTAGGAGCCAGGAGCCAGGCGCCATGCTACCTACCCCCACTGCTAACATTACAAGGGGAAGGGGAGATGCTGGCACACACACAAAAAAATATTTACACACATGTGGCTAAAGTTTCCATTGCTTTCAGCTCAGCTCCGGTTTCCACCTCACTTTTGCTGTTATTCTTGTTAACGCAAAAATTGTCTGTCACTTTGAAACTTCCGTCATCGTCCGCCCACACCCCCAAAAGCAGTTGGGATAAATGATGAGATGGGGCAATGGCTGCTGCAAGTAGCTGAGCGAGCGATAGAGACGGCAGCAAGTAGGGGAATAAGTGTAGGGGAGGTGTGCAAGTGAGGGTAGCAAGTGGGGCAGAAGGCAAAAAAAAAAACCACGTCTGGTTCCCACTTGAGGCACTTCAGTGACGGCAACATTTTGTGTGTTTTGTTTGCCAACTCCTCAGGCAGACATCAGCAACAATAATAACTTTTAGAAATTATAGCACTTCAAACTGATCCAACCACTCAGAAGTAACCGCCTTTGCCTTTGACTTTGCCTGTGCCTTTTCCCTTTTTGCCTGCTTTGAGCACTTTTAATCAGTCAATCAAAGGCGGTTTTATTTGTTTACTGTAAGCTTCAAATAAATATTTGCCAACAGCTGAAGGAGAACAGCTTACAGCTAACCCAAGAGGTATTTATATCTCTTCACAGATTCTTCTAATTTGTCAATGGAAGATACCCTTAAAATTAAATCGATTGGAGGATTTGCCTATTTTGTGATTATTCCACATTTAATTCAAACCTGCTTAGATTTATCCTCCAGCAGGAATGGAATCGGCTCATTGTTGTTTTTATCTTTAGAAATCGATGGGGTTTATGCTCTTCTTTATCATCTCTATACAAACACTCTGGTGGCCTTTCTTTGAGTAGGACTACAACCGGAGACCTCTTTCGCCTTGTACTCATCAATGTACACTATTATTTACGTACTTTATAACTTTTTCCAACTTTTTTGGTCACTTTCCTGCATCGTACGAATACCACCGTTAAATTTATTATC